ATATTGGACATCTTCTTACCTCAAATGGTGTTAAAGTCGATCCAGAGAAGGTGAGGGCGATACAGGACATGCCGACACCTACAGATATACGTGGAGTACAACGATTCCTGGGCATGGTGAATTATCTTTCCAAATTTTGCAAGAATTTATCAGACATGTGTGAGCCACTGAGACAGCTAACTCACAAAGACGTACTCTGGGAATGGACAGAAAGCCATGAAAACTGCTTTTCAGTCAGTGAAAAATGCTACTGCAGACGCAGCAACGCTAAAATATTTTGATCCAGATCAAGCAGTGGTAGTACAATTGTGATGCCTCAGAAACCGGCCTTGGAGCCACACTAATGCAGGATAAACAGCCAATCACATATTCAAGCAGAGCGTTAACTCTAACAGAGCAAGGATATGCTCAAATCGAGAAGGAACTACTAGCGGTAGTATTTGGGTTAGAGAAATTTCACCAGTACACCTACGGTCGACAAGTGGTGGTGCATTCAGATCACAAGCCTTTAGAAAGTATTACAAAGAAGCCACTACTGAATGCCCCAAAAATACTGCAGCGTATGCTGTTAAGGCTTCAGAAATATGATTTTAACATTTGTTACTGTCCAGGGAAGGATTACTGATTGCAGATGCCCGTAAGCAGAGCTTACTTACCCATCACAAATGAAGAAGAAAAAGACATTGAAAGCATCAATATGTGTGAATATCTGTCTGTCTCAAAAGACAGACTGAAACAAATACAGACCTGCACAGCGGAAGATAAAACTCTACAGATCCTATCGACTGTCATCTTGAAGGGATGGCCAAAACACAAGCAGCATGCTCCAATGGAGGTTTCTCCATTTTTTCACATAAGAGATGAACTCTCTGTGCAGCATGGAATCATCTTTTAAAGGAGAAAGAGCTGTCATACCACAATCACTTAGAAGAGACATTATAGAAAGATTGCACTCGACTCACTTAGGTGTAGAAGGATGTCTACGTCGTGCACGAGAATATGTTTATTGGCCTGGAATGAATGACCACATAAAAAACTTTATAGCACAGTGTGAAATATGTGCATCGTGCAATGATAAGCAACCGAAAGAGACATTGCAACCACATACAATTCCAAACAGACCATGGTCAAAAGTAGGAACAGATCTGTTCACGTGGAACGACAAGGAATATCTGGTAACTGTGGACTATTTTTCCAACTTCTGGGAGATAGACTACTTACAGGACACAAGGGCCAAAACAGTAATTAAAAAACTCAAGGCCCATTTTGCCAGATATGGCATTCCGGATATTGTGTTCTCTGACAACGCCGCTCAATTTACATCGGAAGAATTCAAAAAATTCAGGGAGAGGTGGGAATTTGAGCACCAGACATCATCTCCTGGATATCCGCAGAGTAATGGTAAAGCCGAGTCAGCAGTAAAAAATGCCAAAAGACTCATGCAAAAGGCAAAACAGGCAGGTACAGAGATATACCTGTCTATACTGGACCACAGAAACACACCCACACACAAGGCCTAGACACCAGTCCAGCACAGCGGCTTATGAGTAGACGTACAAGGACTCTCCTACCAACTGCAGGTCAACTACTAAAGCCAATGCTTGTGGGCAATGTTAAAGCCAAACTAACGAAGAATCAAGATAGGCAAGCTTTCTATTATAATAAATCTGCAAAAGATCTGCTGTTCTCCAGAGCAATGACAATGTACGGATTCAGCCAATAGGGAAATATGACAAACACTGGAAAAAAAAAGCGAAGGTTGTACAGAAATTGGGACCACGGTCCTATGAAATTATAACAGAGGAAGGAAGAAGATGGAGGAGAAATCGGAGACATCTGAGAAAAACACAAGAAGGAGATGATACAGGGCCCTGGGAACAGTATATGGACACTCAAAGCGATGAGACTATGAATACCAGCAACAAAGAAACAGGGACTGCTGAGGAGCATAGGGAGGTCTCTAGGCAGAGAGAGACAGTCCCAGAAAATAGACTGCCAGAATCAGAAGAACACCAAGATTTCTGTGAAGAAACCTCATATGTTACGCGAGCTGGCAGAACAATCAGAAAGCCGGCTCACCTCAAGGATTATATCTAATTTATAGCTATGTTCTACTTCACCATTTTGTGTTTGTTATATTTCATTGTTCTTTTATTTAAAAGAGAAAGGATGTAGCAATATGTTATATGCTGTGTATGGCCTCTAGGGGTCTCACTACTTAGATACTGGTACAACTGTGTTATTGCCTCTCTTTGGTTGTAGTTCTAGGGCAGACACATGTATAATGGCAGCTAGAAGCACCTAATAAAATGTCTCCTGTTAACTACAGTGTATGAGCATCTGAGCAGGATCGACTAACAGAACAGGACTGAGCCCCAAGTATAGCCACCAAGAAGCCACAGCTTAAGCATACTCAAAGAATGTTTGCAGATCCACAGCTCCAGCTGCTATACCTTTAATTGTCTCCTATGCACAATGCATATATTGATCTTGTAAATAGTTTCCCATATAGAGATTGCACACACACTGATGTAGAAGCCTTCAACTAGGCCTGTATCAAACTATTTATATATATATATATATATATATATATATATATATATATATATATATATATACCACAAGCAGGGATAACTATATCTGTACACATCTCCAAGTATACATGGCATCTGATGTATTGGCCAGAACACTGCACTATAGCAGGACTGAATTTGGACCAAAATATGCAGTTAAAACACATGTCCATAATAGGATCAGCAAAACAAAACCCCTTTAACGACATTAATGGTAACAGGCGTCAATGTTTCCAGCTGAAGATATAATACCATCCATCCCATGTGTTGGAATAAGGAGCACTCCATATGCCATGGCTCAGTGTATAATAGGTAGCCAAATACTTAATCCACCCATCTGTGCATTATAGGTAAATCAGGGGTCAACCGGAATCTCAGGCAGTGGGAAGAATGTCTGGCCGTTTTTTTCCTCAGAGGTTAACAGTAAGATATTAACTTTAGTGTCTTATTTTACTGAAAATTTGCACTTGATAAACTGTTGCACCCATATTGTATGACATGAAAAATTAGAGCTGTCACAATTTTGTTCTACAGGGTGTGTGCCTTCAGAAAAAATATATATATTGCCAAAAGTATTGGGACACCCCTCCAAATCATTGGATTCAGGTATTCCAATCACCTCCATGGCCACAGGTGTATAAAATCAATCACCTGGACATGCAGACTGCTTCTATAACATTTCTGAAAGAATGGGTTGCTCTCAGGAGCTCAGTGAATTCAAGCGTGGTGATAGGTTGCCACCTGTGCAATAAGTCCACCCATGAAATTGCCTTGCTACGAAATATTCCATGGTCAACTGTTAGAGGTATTATACCAAAGTGGAAGCAACTGGGAACAACAGCAACTCAGCCAGGAAGTGGTAGGCCATGCAAAATGACAGAGCGGGGTCAGTGCATGCTGAAGTTCACAGTGCGCAGAAGTCAACAACTGTCTGCAGAGTCAATATCTAAAGACCTCCAAACTTTGTTTGGCCTTCAAATTAGCACAACAACAGTGCATAGAGAGCTTCATAGAATGGGTTTCCATAACCGAGCAGCTACATCCAAGCCTTACATCACCAAGTGCAATGCAAAGCGTCGGATTCAGTGGTGTAACAAACGCTGCCATTGGACTCTATAGCAGTGAAGACTTGTTCTCTGGAGTGACGAATCCACACTTCTCTATCTGACAATCCGATGGACGTGTCTGGGTTTGGCGTTTTCCAGGAGAACGGTACTTGCCTGACTGCATTGTGCAAAGTGTAAAGTTTGGTGGAGGGGGGGGGATTATGGTGTGGGGTTGTTTTTCAGGGGTTGGGCTGGGCCCCCTTAGTTCCAGTGAAGGAAACCCTTACGGTGTCAGCATACCAAGACATTTTGGACAATTTCATGCTCTCAACTTTATGGGAACAGTTTGGGGATGGCCCTTTCTTGTTCCAACATGACTGCGCATCAGTACACAAAGCAAAGTCCATAAAGACGTAGATGAGTGAGTTTGGGGTGGAGGAAATTGACTGGCCTGCACAGAGTCCTGACCTCAACCTAATAGAACACCTTTGGGATGAATTAGAGCGGAGACTGCGAGCCAGGCATTCTCATCTGAAATCAGTGCCTGATCTCACAAATGTGCTTCTGGAAGAATGGTCAAACATTCCCATAGACACACTCTTAAACCTTGTGGACAGCCTTCCCAGAAGAGTTGAAGCTGTTATGGCTGCAAAGGGTAGGCCAACTCAATACTGAACCCTACGGACTAAGACTGGGATGCCATTAAAGTTTCAAGTGCATGTAAAGGCATTACTTTTGGCAATATAGTGTATACTAGTTTGGGGTTTTAACTAAACGTCAGGCCTAAATGATTTTTTTCAATATGTGTGCAATAATGCAAAAATGGCTCTGGCAATGAAAGGGTTAAAAAGCAGCTCCTAATGCTGAAAGAAATGCCAATGTGCTGGTCTTTTTTTTAGTTCAGGTACGGGATTGTGTCATGTTGCTTTTTTTATTTTTTTTATAATTGGATAGCTTTAGCTGGCAAATTTGTCTGCAGGCTAAAATTTGTTGGGCAGCTTACTGTACAAGTGAGATGTGACAGTAGTTCACCAGCTGCTACATTCACCTTGTCCACATTTGTTCTATTTCAAATAGGGGAAAGGTTACTGTAGCATACCAAGCAAACAATGTTGAATGTCACTCGAGTGAATAACTGTAAAAGATTCACAAGGTGAATTTCCCAGTGACTGCTTTATAAATACACCCCTTAATCATATATTTACTGCCCTGCTGTTTCTCTCATGACAGCCTACAAGGCAGGTAGACCATGTGCAGCAGGGGGTCTTTGCCTAGGATTTATTAATGGCAAGAAAGAGGTAATTTTTAATCAAAATAATATGATTTGGAACTGGGCGTACGTTAAAATTAAACTTACTATACATAATACAGAAATGATTACCTCCAGGATCTCTTGTTATTAATTTTGTACTTGATGGGCGACTGATACATTTCTCCACCTGGGAGTACAAAACAATAAACAATTTACCATGTAATATAATATCAGTGATTTACAAAATTGAAGTCAGCTGCAATTTTAATAACCAACAGAACAAATACAGCAATTACATTTTTTACTTTATACAAAAAAAAGGATATTAGTTCAAACACACTTTGCAGCATTCTAGTATGATACAAGATTGGAAAAAAGTTTTTAAATTAAGCATCCTTTGCAGACTAAAGTTTTCCTTGATGCTGTTAACAGCGAGTTAGTTGAGGTTCCTTCCTGAGTAACCCAGAGGTCACCATTTCTAACCTAAATGCAGAATTTGAGACATATGGCAAGTTGTCCATTTTTTGCAATAACTATCAGAAATCAGTTTAATCAACACTACTTAAACTGAAGGCCATCTTTGCTTTTAAATGGGCGTCCTCTTATATATCTTAAAATCCTGTTGTCAAATGACCTTTTGCAACTTTTTGTCCCTAGATTGTCCCACTCATTTCCTCTCTTTGTAATGAGCTGCTGACCTGGACTATGAAGAGTTTTTCATAGATGAAAAGATGCAATGTTATTAAGCAGAATGTCCTGCTCTTTACCTTCTCTAAATGATTCCGATTCTCATACCTGTATCCTATGTCAACTGAGGGGCATAGCACTCTCAGAGACCTGACTATATCACCTACCATTTAAACAGAGTCTTAGACTGGTGTTGACCAGGGGTGGACTGACCATTTGGAAACTCGGGCACTGCCCGAGGGCCCGGGGTCAGTAGGGGGCCCCCGGTACCTTTTTCATAGGCTTTTTTTTAGTTTGGGCAAGGAAACAGGGGCCCCATGATCCCCTATTGCCCGGGGGCCCCATGAGTTGTCAGTCCGCCCCTGGTGTTGACATAAGGTGACAAAGCATTGGGTGTCCCTTGAGCAAGATTCCCCTCTTACACCTTTTCATTGTCCTGACCTGAAAAACATTCTACCATCACTATGACCTGTGTTCAGGTCTTATGGTCTTGCTCCTTTTCCTTCCCCTCTCCCATGTTTACCCCTCCCCCGGTCTCCAAAGCACTTCCTTAGACACTTGTTTTGGTTGCCTCTATTTAGATGTCACAGGACCCGAGCTTGCCTCCTTGTGACCTCTGAAAATTCACTCACTTCCACCAACCCTTATCAGAGTTGATGAAGTTTTCACATGCCCTAACTCAATGTGAGAGAGTTCAGGGCCAGTATGGCAAAAGCTTTTTTTCTCTTCCAAACTGCTGCTTGTGGGGTCTTCAGAAACCTCACTTTATTTTTTGGAGCAATGGGAAAAGGACCTTCCAAATGTAACAGATATGTGAGATGGGGAAAACAGCTCTCATTGTTTGAACACTGTTTGTGTGGAAGTAAATTAATGTTTTGACTGACATTCTGCAGTTTAGCCACTGGATGTCACTGTTTTTCTAACACACAGCCTCAGACTGCCTAGATATTTGTATATTCAATAAGAGGTGGGGTTTTGCACACAGAGTTGGAGAGAACAGGAAGGAGAGAGAGAAGCCATGTTTTTGGAGCATGGTGAATAAGGGGCCGTGTGAGCTGAGAATCTGATGACATCCAGGTGTGAAAGCATCCCTCAGTAACCATAGATTGCTGCCAGGAGGCTGATAAGATTGCTGCCAGGAATGTTGATGAGATTGCTGTCAGGAAGCTGATGATATTGCTGCCAGGAATGCTGATGAGACTGCTGCCAGGAAGGCTGATGAGAGCAGAGGAACTAAGCAACATATACGGCAAGACCGCATGCTTGTTGGAGAGACATTTGTTCTGTTCAGAGTCACCAGCGGATGAAAAGCAGACCCGGGTCGGTAAGATAGTGCACGCACCTCATTTCAGTGTTGGCGCCTAGAGACTGAGGCCAGGCCTATAGTTAGTTAGTTAGGGTCTCTGTTTGTGTCAGGTCACAAGTGTTATTACTGATCATTGGAAGGACTCCATAACTTAAAGTGACATTGGAGAGCTGATAAAATCCCACAAACTCAAGCCAGGCTGGCATTTTGCTCAGAAGGAATACTCAGGCACGTGCTACAGGACCAGTTATGGGAGAGGGAATACTGTAGATTTGTGTAAGATTGTAAGCTGTTGTGCTGCACCGTAGGCTAGCTCATACCATACACCCATACACTGATTCCTGCACTTTTAGGGTAATAACAGGTAAGATGTGGCAGCTTAGTTGTGCCCGCCAGTAGGTAAATTACTTCACTTTCCACCTTCATCCATCAGAAGGCGCCGTGCTGTGCAGCACAAGGGTCTCAGCCTTTCGGCTGGGTGTATGTAAATTTATTGTATGTTTCCAGCATTTGTGGTTGTATTTATTTGCCACATCTAAGTAAAATTCTGTTGTGACAAAAGCTGGTGCTGGGGTTGCTTTCCTCGTTTGTGACTTCAGTGTATCCTGGGGAGCCCACCCCGGTACACGGCTCACAGATATATGAAAACCAGTTATAAGATTGTTACCCGCTGGTACCCACCCTGACAACTCTTCAAGCTATTTACCACACTAAAGTTAGAGGGACAAAAGGCAGATGTTACAAATTTTTTGATCATGTATGGACTTACAGATTTCTGGTCACAGATCAATGCAATAGTTTAAAAGTGCACTGACCAGAAATTTCAACATGTCGGTGTTCTTTCTCCCGCACCACAACTTGGTACCAATGACAAAAATATCTGTGATCAGACACTTAGTGAATGTAGTCCACTCTTGCATTCCAGCATAGTGGAAATTACCATCGCTACTGACTGTGCAACAATGGATCAGACAAGTGGAGGACATCAGACTGATGGAAAGTCTAACTAGTTCATTGAAAGACACACACTCAAAATTCTTCACCAGGTGGTTTTAGTGGAATGAAAGTTCTATTGTGGGGATCTGCAGGATAGGGGATTTTTAGATCCTAGAAGCCACCTTTAACAATAAAGGGGCCCTCAGATACCTCTCATATGATTGAGTAGGGGATACACAGTACCTCTACTCATTTACAAAAATACATGTAAACATTAAATAAGCACACTGATTCTTTTTGACAAGTCCTTTGAAAAAAAAAATCCATAAAATGCAGATCCATGTCAATCATGAAAGATGTCCACCAACCAATCATAAGAAAAAAATCAGCTGCCAACACAACTTGCTCTCATCACAGCTCACTGTGAGTGGCATCTCCCATTCCCCACAACTGTGGATTTTGGGGAAATCTCACTCAATTTAAGCCAATTTAAGCGAATTTAGTTCAACTGTTTGCTATAACTCTGAACAAGTAAAATTCAGTCTGAAAAATCTTGCCCAGTTTTCTTAAAATGCACTTGTGCCACAACCTTAAAGGAGCAGTTAAAAAGCAGAACAATGTGCACTCAATGTCCCACAGTATGTAGCTACAGGATCTGTGGAGATGTAAATGGATGAACATCTACTTGCACATAGACTAACAAGGAGCTGCCTGAAAAACTGACAGACAGATCTGATCCAGCTGCCTTTGTGTAAACTGCTACAAAGTGACTGAAACCTAATTTTTAAGCCTCTGTTAAATTTTTTTAAAGTGAAATACTCAACAATACCAACAGCTACAAAGGTCAGTGAGGACTTGCTTCAAAGCTCTTTTATTGCTTGTACTGAATATATAACCAGTGGCATTGCTAGTGATGGGCACCTAGGGCACAGGCCCCATATCCTCTGCAGGGTGCCCCGGGCCCCCAACACACAGGGGTGGGAGAGGTGAGGTGTGGTGTGGTGAGGTGGGGGTGAGGGGGGGTTGGCTGGGGGAGGGGGGGGGAGAAGAGAGGCTTTTGTGTTGACAGGGGAAATTTGGAGGTAGGGACAAATATCTATGCTGGGTGGAGAGGATTTAGGGTAAGAAGGAAGATTTTTGGGGCACAAAGGTTTGTGCTGGGAGGGGGGATTTCAGTGGCGGTGGTGGGGGAGGGGGTATATGTACTGGGAGTAGAGGGGAAGTTTTGCATTTGTATTTGGGGAGAATTTGGCTTCCAAAGGGAATTTGTGTTTGGAGGGTGAGTGTACAGATTAAAGCTGGATGGTTTTTTTTGGAGGGGGGGATTTTGTTGAGAGGGGAAAAAGTAGAGGAAAATACGGCTTGCAGGGGAAATTTTGCACTCTATTGTCCCCTGCACTTTGTCTAGTGCAGCAATGGGCAAACTACGGCCCCGGGGCCGTATACGGCCCGGCGGACCTTTTAATCCGGCCCATGGAGCGTGATACTGTCAGGATGGCTGTCAGGATGTGTGTAGGTGGGGCAGCGTGACGAACGTGAGGGGAGCTAGGCTCCTCTCACAGTCAGCGCGGGAACACGGCGAGAGGAACGCGCGGAGCAAAGGTAAGTAAATTGACACAGGGGGGACTTGGCTTACTACTTGGGGGGGAATAGTACTATGGGGGATGAAATACTATATGAGGGATATGAATTAATATGGGGGATGAATTAATATGGGGAATGAATTACTATATGGGGGATGAATTACTATGGGGGATGAATTACTATATGGGGGATGAATTACTATGGGGGATGAATTACTATGGGGGGATGAATTACTATGGGGGATGAATTACTATATATGGGGGATGAATTACTATATGGGGGATTAATTACTATGCTTACTATGGGGGAATATTACTATACTTACTATGGATGACACATACACATCCTTCATCTACTCTTGGTCCGATCCCTGGGTCCAATATATGAACCCATTGCGGCCCTCAAGTCAAAAAGTTTGCCCACCCCTGGTCTAGTGCATTCTCTTTGGTTTATACACCTGATCCCTGAACATGGTATATTACACAACTTAACCACTGACCTTTGTGCATTAGTTACTCATGCCCCTGCACTCTGTGTTACATACATCTGACGTCAGTGGCCTATGTGTTTTGTATTCTTAAACACGGCACTGACCACAGCACAAAAAATCTACAGCGGTGTAGTGGCAAGTTACTACAGTGGAGGTATATATTTTACAAAGCACAGAGAAGAGAGAATGAGAAGTGAAGGGAAAGGCTGAATTTTCAACTAAGCAAATATAGGCATTGAACCTGGAGCCTCCAGCATTTATAGGGTCTATGAAGTAGGGAAAACAAACTTATTTGCAGCTAAGAAAACTCTCCCTCCTCTTTTAATCCATTTTAAACCAATATCCTGCCTTTGACACACTCTGTTCTCTCTTACAAGCACTTCTGTTCCTCCTAGTAAGACTGGCAACAGAATGCTAGTCATGGCCTATATGAGTGCATTTATAATATTTATATACAAAATCTATTTGTATAGGGCTCTCATGCATGACCAGAATCACCATTTGTTCTGAGTAAAGAAATCTAGCACCTACTTTCCCAAAGTATCCACCTGGATGGAACTCAAAAGATTTTCCTCTAGAGTATGTGGCTGATCACTGTATCCCCTGATCACCCTCTTCTAAGGGAAATGAGTCTCTTTGTGTAGATATAGACTCTTCCCAATTGTACCCTGGTGATCACATGACTATTGCTGCACACCCCCATAATCACCAATGATTGTATGGAGGAGTAAAGGGGAGTGTAGAAATTCTAAAGTCGGTTGGTGAGATGGAGTGCAATAAGGGCAATTGTGGAAAGGTATTAGCACAAGGACTTACTAACAAGAAATTACACCAAGTGTTTATGGTAAAATTGAGATAAAAAAAACAGCTCCTGCCACTTCAAGAGGATGGCTTTGTTAGAATGGATACTATATGACCAACCTGTGTGTGGTTATAAGAAGTCAATGAGTACCCCTAGCATAGCTGTTTTGGATTTCATAAAATTGTTTGGAGTATTGTCTGTTTTTACTCTTATGTTTCTGCAAATCATGGTGACATTTGTACTGGAAACAAGTCAGCGCAGGTCTATTTACTTCTAGTTGTTCCCTTGTAATGAATTCATTTTACATATACTGTATTTTCAAATCTATGCAACTGAGACCGCTGTTCTTTAGTGGCAACAAAAATATACCATGTAATTCGATTTTATGCACTTGTATTGAATTGTTCTTTTCAAATGCATCTCTTTGCTGGTTACAAATTTATGAGATGATTTCCACTTTTTCTCTTTACCTTAGGGAGGGCAATAGGAAGCTTGCATACTGGTGTCCTTAGTCGTAAAGATCTGTCAGCTGATTGTCCTGTCTTGTAGCTTGTAAAAATGTCTTCCTTAGATATTCTGTAGAATGCTACTGTCCCTTTATAATGTGGTGAGCTGTAATTTCCAAACTCATCAACAACACTGAGATCTAAGGATATTCTGTGCATTTTTTGTGAGTGAAATGTCAATCTGTATGTTTCATTAGATTCTGTGCCACCTGAAAGAAATCAGAAAATTAGGATATTATAGAAGATCTTTAATCACTTGTATTCTTAAAGGCCAAATACTTTACACCAGTCTTTACACCACAACCTGTCTTTACTATGTAATAGTAATAATAATAATTATTATTACTACTATGTAATAATTTAATAGCAGTAATTATCATTTGTAGTATTCTTGCAATTAAATATTATCAGTAATTCATCTTAGAATTTTGCAATTACCAACATTTCTACATGAATGATTCCTAACGTGTAGTCAAGTTATTCTCTTATTTAGAATAAAGCAAACTCAGTCTTCTTTTACAAGTAACACAAACAATTGTATTCATTCATTTATATCTTCATTGAATGCATTCTTTAAAGTTCAGCTTTGGGCTATATATTTTTAAATGTCCCTTAGATTGTTTAAAAAAAATGCTCAGCCTGCAATGCTCATCTTCAAGCCAGAGCTGTCCCCTGAAATAACATCTTCTCTACTACACTATGGCCTTGTTCTTCTAAGCTGTAATGTTCAGGATTGCTCAACCCAGAAGACTGAGGACATATTGGGGTAGATTTACTAAAATCTGGAGCAACTGTGCATGGCCGCCAATCAGCTTCTAACTTCAGCTTGTTCAATTAAGCTTTGGCAGTAAAACCTGGAAGCTCATTCTATGCAGAGCTGCACCAGATTTTGCACTCTCCAGTTTTAGTATATAACTCCTATTTCAGTGCAGAGATTCATGGTGTACTGCATTTGCTTTTTAATGTTGCATCACTGAGGACCATCTGGTTCAGAAAAGAGAAAAAAAGGACTTTGTGGCATCACATGACCGGCCTGAAGACTTCATAAAAACTAAGTAACCCCCCTCCTCCCAAAACAAATAATACTGCATAACATCATAACATACTTTTTGGAATCCTCAAAGAGGGAAAGAGAAGACTTGGGGGGGGGGGGGGGGGGGGGGGGGGGGGGGGGCACATGAAGCTTGGAATTTGGCTTCTAGTCTAGACAAAAAAATGTTTGATCTCTTGCATTAGTACTTTATATAACCACCTTTACAGGCCATAACCTCCTGATCACACTTGCATGGTTATGAGCAAAATTAGAATATTCATCTTTACAAAACTTAGCCCATAAATGAGCCTTAGAAATCTAAAAAGCATTCCTGCACAATTGCAGTATTGTGCTCAGCAGACACAGTGGGGTTTATTTACTAAAGCTGGAGAGTCCAAAATCAGACTCCCTTCTGCATAGAAACCAATCAGCTTCCAGGTTTCATTGCCAAATCTTCATTGAACAAGCTGAGATTAGAAGCTGATTGGTTTCTATGCAGAAGGGAGTCTGATTTTGGACTCTCCAGCTTTAGTAAATAAACCCCAGTGAGTTCTGATATAAGTACAGACTCCACACTGGGATGCTAACAACTGCAATCAAAGAAGGTTAAAGATCTACATTCTTTTACTGTAAGTATTGGGGAAGGCAATGGGTGGGGGGAGGTTGTTACAAAAGGTTTTCTTATGATTTCACCTACACTTCCTTCTTCCTTTTTTTGATGGGGTCTAAATATCCAACACACTGATGATGTTCACTCTACTACTGCCTCTCACATACAAAGAGCCAGATATAAAAAAAAAATAGATGTATATATCAATATTGAATGTTTGTCAGAGCTACCAATCACATTCAGTCCTGCCTTGGAAGGCTGACTTTTGTTTGTGATGCAGAAGGCTGGGAGGGAGCCCATACTTCAGGAAATACACTTCTACTACCCCTCTACTGATAGTAACTTTGTAATAGAAAAATGTTTGCTCACCCAATGCTGATATGTTGCCACAAAACTGAAAATGAATTTGGTCTCCTTCTTGAAGAGCTATTGCTTCAGAGGGCTCAGGTGGTCCCGTGTATCCAGCTTCTGTCAAAGCTGAGGTTTCCCAGTTTAATTCTTTAGAGGGAACCAGTTCTACAATGATGTTGTGAAAGTTGTCTTTCCTTTTATACAAAACCACATTGACCATTGAGCTGTGTATAGCAAATTCCAAACTATGAATAAATTGAATCAAATGTGGGGCATCCATAGCCGGAGACAGACGAACTACAATAAAGCTAAAAAATACAGTGATCGATTAAAATGTGCTTTTAATCTTAACCTTGTAATAAACAAGTATAATCAAACAATACAGTTTTGGATAAATGTATGACTGTTTATGCATTAGCAATGTTTAAAGCATAATAACTGAAAGGAGACTACATAGTATCTTTAGCAATATTATTAATTCATCATCCAGCTAGTACGTTGACAATGACTAATTGTACATTTCTATTGTAGAGGTTCAGTCCCCTCCCCCCCCCAATAATAAGAGCAACCTAAAGGTATGACTTTATCATAGCTTGATTTCAAGAGGGACAAAATAGGCATGACCTCCAAGCACCATTATCCCTTTTCCGTGCTTTTGGATATCTCCCAGATTTAGTATCATCTGAGTAAGACAATTAGCTCATAATATTTCACAACATAAGCTCATTATTAGCTTAGAAGAGGCAGGAAACATGCCATTTAATCAACATTTTCACACTGTCATAAGATTGACACTCCTTCATGTGAAATAGGTTGGCACTAAATAAATTAATTAATGCACTAAAAAAAACTAACTCGACAAGATGCATGACATGTGGGTTGTAGTGTAGTAGAGTGCAGGTGCATTGTGTTTTTATTTATATATATATATATATATATATATATATATATATATATATATATATATATATATAAATTAAAAGAACACTTGTTAATCAGAGTTTAGTATCAAGTCAATTAAACTCCTGGGACATTGATCTGGTCTGTTAAGTATCAGTGGGGGTTGTTAGTCAGTTTCAGCTGATTTGGTGAGATCAATGAGATTTCCCCAAAACAGAAATGGTTTTACGGGTGAAGGCCACTGACATTTTTTTCCCTATTCATCTTTTCTGACTGCTTTTCACTAGTTTTGCATTTGTCTATGGTCAGTGTCACTACTGGTAGCATGAGGCGATACCTGGACCTTACAGAGATTGCACAGGCAGTCCAACTCCTCCAGGAATTGCACATCAATACGTGCCATTGCCAGAAGGTTTGCTGTGTCTCCCAACACAGTCTCAAGAGCATGGAGGAGATTCCAGGAGACAGGCAGTTACTCTAGGAGAGGTGGACAGGGCCGTAGAAGGTCCTTAACTTATCAGTAGGACCAGTATCTACTCCTTTGTGCAAGGATGAACAGAATGAGCACTGCCAGAGCCCTACAAAATGACCTCCAGCAGGCCACTGGTGTGAATGTCTCTGACCAAACAATCATAAACAGACTTCATGAGGGTGGCCTGAGGGCCTGGCGTCCTCTAGTGGGCCCTCTGCTCACTGCTCGGCATCATAGAGCTTGATTGGCATTGTCATTGAACACCAGAATTGTCAGGTCTGCCACTGACGCCCTGTGCTTTTTTACAGATCAGAGCAGGTTCACCCTGAGCATATGTGACAGATGTGAAAGTGTCTGGAGAAGCCATAGAGAATGTTATGCTGCCTGTAACATCATTCAGTATGACCATTTTGGAGTGATGGTCTGGGGAGGCATATCCATGGAGGGACACACATACCTCTACAAGCTAGACAATGGCACCCTGACTGCCATTTTCGGTATCCAGGATGAAATCCTTGGACCCCTTGTCAGACCCTACACTGGTGCAGAGGGTTCTGGGTTCCTCCTGGTACACGACAATGCCTGGCCTCATGTGGCGAGAGCATTCAGGCAGTTCTTGGAGGATGAAGGAATTGATACCATTTTAATGGCCCCCATGCTCACCTTACCTAAATCCAATAGATCACCTCTGGAATATCATGTTTCGGTTCATCCAGCACTGCCAGATTGCACCTCAGACTGTCTAGGAGCTCAGTGATGCCCAGGTCCAGATCTGGGAGGAAATACCCCATTAGGAGCATGCCTCAGCATTGTCAGGCATGCATACAAGCATGTGGGGGCCGTACAAAACTACTACTGAGTACATGTTTTGCTATACTACATGTTTTATTCCCTTTGTGTGTTTTGGGACCATTTTGAGTTGCTGCAATGAAATGATGAGGCATCCTTATGTTCCTAACCATATCAGTATAGATATCCAGCATGATCTTTTTTGCTATTCAGATCTGATGTGTTTTCAAGTGTTCCTTTAATTTTTGTGAGCAGTGTATATAACAGTATATATAGCCCATATTATATATATTCTATATATATATATATATATATATATATATAAATATATAGGTAAGACCTGGTGTAAGAAGGAAGGATTTTGGGTTTCTAGAGCACTGGGCTGACTTTTCATTGGGGTGCACCTAACTGGAAGGGTGTCTGCTGTGCTGGGGGAGAAGTTCATGGGAAAGCTGGAGGAATATTTAAACTAGGATCAAGGGGGGGAGGGAGAATTGGATTATCATCATTATCATTAGTAATACCTCATCTGGAATATACAGTTCAGTTTTGGGCAACAATTCACAAAAACAACATTGGGGAACTGGAGAAAGTACAGAGAAGGGCAACCAAACTGATAAGAGGCATGGAGGAGATCAGCTATGAGGAAAGATTAGAGGAACTAAATTTATTCTCTCTTGTGAAGAGGAGATTAAGGGGGGATATGATCAACATGTATAAATACATCAGTGGTTCATATAGTGAACTCGGTGTAGAGCTATTCACCCTGAAGTCATCACAAGGGATGCAAGGGGGCACTTTTTATGTCTGGAGGAAAAGAAATTTAATCTCCAAACAAGGAAAGGTTTCTTCACAGTGAGAGCTGTGAAAATGTGTAATAGACTCCCTTATGAGTTGGTTCTGGCCAGCTCAGTGGATTGCTTTAAAAAAGACTGGGATATTTCCTAGATACACAGAATATAACTGGATACTAACATTTATAGGTAAAGTTGATCCAGGGAATATCCAATTGCCTCTTGGGGGATCAGGAAGGAATTTGTTTCCCCTGCAGGAGCATATTAGATCATGCTTTGCTGGGGTTTTTTTTTTTTGCCTTCCTCTGGATCAACTGTGGGTATAGGATTATAACATTACTTACTTTTTTAATGGTTGAACTTTTGCCTTTTTTTCAGCCAGACTAACTATGTAACTATATATATATATATATATATATATATTATATATATATATATATATATATATACACACACACACAATGTATATATACAGTATATATATATATATTTATTATATACCTGCCACGGTATGAGTTTAGCAAATTGAAATAGAGATGACACAGGATTCTCAAAGGTTCAGTTTGAGAAGCTCCAGCACATGTTTTGTAAGTGGAGAAAGATCCGTTTTAAGCTTTTTCTTGGTTTGGTAGGCCTGGATTGGGGCCTTGAGTTTGAAGGTTCCAAAGTGTCTTGGGTGAGAAGGGACCTTCAATCTTAGGTCCGATCTTTGCGAGACACATGTAGAGCTACTGTGGTTGTAGTTGTTGCTGTGTGGAGACAGAGCCCTGTCAGCAGAACTGAGAGTTCCTTCCAGAGACTGCATCCCTAGTGAGTGGGATCCTTGCCCAAGGACTGGGAGAATAGGGATAGCTTCATGGGTCTGGAAAGTCAAGAAAGGTGAGGCAGCTAGCAGGTCCAGGGGGCTGGAGGGAATCTGGAAGTCTCTAGAGGGAGCAAGCTTGAGGGGCTGAAACCCTATCAGGAGTGGGTCCATACATCAAGGTGCTGCAACCAAGGCTGATAAAGCTGATTAGATTGTATATATGTATGTACTGAAGCAGAGCATGATCCGCTCCCTTGAGGAGACTGGGATGCAGGGCAGTATTCCAACATGATAATGACGCCAAACAACTCCAGAATGACCACTGTCTTGCTAAAGAAGCTGAGGGTAAAGGTGATGGACAGACAAAGCATGTCTCAGACCTAAACCCTATTGAGCATCTGTGGGGCATCCTCAAATGGAAGTGGAGGAGTGCAAGGTCTCTAACATCCACCAGCTCTGTGATGTTGTCATGGAGGAGTGGAATAGGACTCCAGTGGCAACCTGTGAAGCTCTGGTGAACTCCATGCCCAAGAGGGGTTAAGGCAGTGCTAGAAAATAATGGTGACCACACAAAATATTGACACTTTCGGCGCAATTTGGACATTTTCACTTAGGGGTGTACTCACTTTTGTTGCCAGCAGTTTAGACATTAATGGCTGTGTGTTGAGTTATTTTGATGGGACAGCAAATTTAAACTCTTATACAAGCTGTACACTCACTACTTTACATTGTAGCAAGTATCATTTCTTCAGTGTTGTCACACGAAATGATATAATAAAATATTTACAAAAATGTGAGGGGTGTACTCACGTCTGTGAGATACTGTGTATATATATATATATATATATATATATATATATATATATATATATATAGTCTTCACTTCTTCACCTTAGTATTCTTGCCTGTTTATCTGTTCTTAAAAGCTTTCAAAGTTCAATGACATCCATAAAATGCAAAATAGTAGATGACGAGTATGTGGAATAGTTTACCTTTGTAAATATTCACTCATTTCAAATGAGACAATTCCATTCTGCACATTCTTCACCACAATGTCATCCAAGACAATCCACTGATCTTCCCTTAATGCCAGCAATTTCAGTAATTCACTTGGATTATCCCCATGCTTCCTCACTGAGGCACTTACAGCCCTGTAATATAATAACAGGGTATTTGTGGATCTAACCAAGTCATTTACAAATAAACAAAGCTTTCCATCTGGAGATTATAATAAAATCATAATATTGAAAGTGATTTGAAGTATGAAAGTTAATAATTATATTTATGGGTATAAATCCTCTGCGCAGGTGGCTAATATTCATATTTTACTTTCCAAATTATAGAATACAATGAGGGCAGTTGTGGAGGAGGGCAATAATGGTAAAACAAAAGCCTTCAATTGTTTTTTGCTCAGTGATAGAGCTGATATATTCTGGTCAGTCGCGTTGCTTCAAACTGTTTTTCCAAGAACAAGCAACATCTTGATGGAAACAACAATTTTATTTTCCAAAATAAAAGTATTCATCCACTGAGAAATGGTTATTTTAATTTTAGATAGGTGATGAATTACCATCAGACTTTTGTGGAGAGATCCTTTCACCTAAATCGCCAGTTCCCCCTTCCTGCTGTGACCATTACAATGCAATTTAAATTTCCGTCATATATTTATAATGTAATAAGAGAGGGAGCACTGAGGCCGCAGTTAGAGCAAAGAGATTCCATGGCATAAGACTACTGGGCAAGTTAGCTCAGCAGCATCTACTCACAACTGAAGCTTTAGATGAACTCATACTTTAAATATAATGTTTAACCAATAGTGATAATTTATTTATAAGTGGAGCTTATGCACTCCTCTCCTGAACGACACTAGGCCACATGGGGTGGATACCTTGCCAGGAAGTACCCAACTGGCAAAGCACCTTTTCATCACATTGATGAAGTAAATAAACGCATTGATACTGTGACAGTCCTTTATTGAAATAAAATGCTTCTGATGTAAATCCATTGATATTCACTTCATCCAGAGATGTAGATCCATGTCAGGCATGATGAATGATGATCCTGATGACCTGCCCTACCAAAAAATAATGCCAACATGTTCATTCCCTTAAACTGCTCACTGGGAATATTAGCACCTATGCCCAAAGGTAAATGTAAACAAAAGGATGAGGTAACCCAGGTAATGTCATTGACCAAAATGGACATGACCATTATAGGACAGTGAGGTCACAGGGTATTCACGAACGTGTCACCGACCCGGCATGTTTCAATTTCCGGCAGATCAGCATGTCAGTGTGTTTTTGTTTTGTTTTTTGGCAGACCAGCAGGCATTGTTGTACATTGTGATTGACATGGATCTGAATTAATAAATGATGTGATTGACTATAACATTACATTGTGGGAGTTAAAAACAAAATGAATAAAGGATTATGTGACATTGTGTGTTTTTTTCACAATATTAGACTTTTTTTGTGAATGAGTAATCAGGGGTACTATAAACCCCTTATACATCCACATTGCGGGGCAGCATCTGGGGGGGGGGGGGGGGGGGGCTTTATTTTAATAGGTGCTGCCAGATTCTGAAAAATCTCCCCTCTGTAGAAGCCTGCAACCAGCGGACCAGGTTTGTGGGGAAGAGGCTCTGCTAAGGGACAAGGTACTTTGCCAGGGGAGTACCCTCTAGCAAGGTATCCTCCCCATGGTTCAAGTACACTTGCTGCCCCCCACCTCCTGGGCAGCCAGGTTGCATTATCGGATAAGGATCTGGTGTAAATTTTGGGGGGACCTCATGCTTTTTTCATCTTGTTGTTTTGTGTGGGGTTCCCACTTAAAATTTAAAGCAGGTCCACGTCAAGGATAAGGGCTTGGTATTGATTTTGGGGAGATCCCCCCAGTTGTTTTTATTTCAAAACTGCCATTGCTTGTTATGGCTTACCAATGATTGTGCAGCTGTGGGCATTCTAACAACTGATAACATTATCAGTTGCTCCAATGTGGGCAGCTGGCCTGCACATTGTCCTTGGTTGCTAGAATAGAAACTGCTTTCTTTTTTCTTTGGAGTGTACCTCCTTATATTCCATATCATACCATTTTTGGTTTCTAAATTCCACTTTTGTTTGTGTACACCCTAAAGATGTGCAACTTCACAGGAAGGTTTAAGGCACCCCGCAGGCATATCTTATTATTAACCACTTTCCCGCCGCCCTATAGCAGATATATTGCTACAGGTGGCAGGGGTGTGCAAAATCACATATATATATGTGATTTTTCATTTATAGGTAGGGGACGTGCGAGCCATGTGATCGCCCTACCCTGCCGCTGTTTTCAGCCTCGGCTGTCAATCACCGGGTCTCAGCCAGTGATTACTCGCCGACACCTGGCAATTGCGGAACATTACTGACGGAGGGAGAGAACTGTATGTAAGGGGGGTAACTCCTCTGGAGGGCAAGTGGTTAAACGAGCTGCTCTCCACCAATCTGTATTTTTTTTAGACTTTTATTTCTGCATTGGTACATGTCGACTCTGTCAGTACCCAGATCCCAAGGCCCCTTGTTTACCAATCCCTTGCTTTAGCCTTAAAAATGGAGAGCACTGACTTCCAAGATTCGGTTCTTATTTACTTCAATGGGATTTGATTAATGTTCACAATTCCCAAAGTTTTTGATCAGTTAGTTCAACCTCTTGCTAACTGGAACCCAGAAATAATTGGAACATTCCTAGTAATAATCCTTTTCCACTTTGTCAAAAACTTAAAAAAAATGTTGGCTATAGTTTGACTTTAAGGAGAGTGCAATCTATAGACTCCATAAAAATCTGCAAATTTATTGAAGTAGTTGTTGGAGGTGCATTGAACATAATGATGTTCTAGAATATCATAAGAAATCCAAGTACAAACCTCAAATATAACACAGAGTAAAGGTCCAGATTAATTTAATATCTTAAGCAGAAGACATCATCAAAGAATCAAATTGTTTATCATAAACTATAAGTTTCAGCCAGCAGTGACTTTTCATAGGGGACATAAAATGGAACACAGACTCCGAACAATGAACTTGTCTGCAAATACTTTGACGTATGACTCCATTATTTTCCACTGGGACTATACTGTGTTCATAATTGTCTACGTTCAAAAGTCTCTGCTGTTCTGCTGCAATATCATTGAATCTAAATAACACGTTTTATTAGCACAGAACCTAATAATATTCACAAATACATCTGTAAATGTTTAAAGCTGAACTCCAGGCAGATATAAAAATTAATGCACCTCTGCATTATTTATGAAATCATGAAAAGCCCAACTTCAGACATTTTCTTACAGGATGCCCAACTTGTGTTTAAAATAAAAGAGCAGCTCTAGCTGTAACAATCATCTCCAATCCTTTGTTGTCCCCACAGTAATCCCATTCCGCCACCAGATGTGCTCAGACTTCCTGGGCTGGATATTATCATTTAAGGTGGTTGTAAAGCCTAAAGGTATTTTGCCTTAGGGCCAATTCACACAACAAAAACATCTTCCAGATCCATTCTGGATGCATTTATTTAATGCTTTTTTTAATGCATTTCCAGATGCATTCCAGATTTTTTTTTCCCTCCTTTTTTTTGGGTCATTTGAATTTCAAAATCTTTATTTTCATCAAGACAGTGCATCAGGGTCACAATTCTTGTCAGATCACTTCCCATTTATCCATTTGCTTGCTGCATGCTGCTGTGTAGAGAAGGTGTCTGCATTGGCAGGCTTATTCATTATTATGGCCATTGAACTGTTGAGTCTGCATGTCCACAAGGTGGTATTGGGTGCATCCACTGTTGATGGAGCCTAGTGTCCAGATACAGCCTTCTATGCTCCATTTTGTCTGGATGTGCATGTGACCAGAAGAGGATCATGGGAGGATCATGGGAGGAGTTAAAATACATTTGTAATCCTTTTCCTGACACTGTACTGGAGTCCGGTGCATTTTTTATGTTTTTTTATGTGTTCCAGTACAATTTTGTGCAGAAAAAGGGCAGCATGTTGTACTTTTTTTCTGGAACTGAAATGCACTGGAACTGACTGCACTGGTGTGAACTATGCCATACGAACCCATGTAACATACTTTCCATGCGTTTTTGATGCAGACAAAAAGCAGTGCAGTGCATGTGGTGTGACTTGCCCCTAAATGCATTTTCTGCATTAAGGTAAAAAACCTTCTCTGTGCAGCCCCCTTATACTTATCTGAGCCCTATCTTGATCCAGCAATGTGCAGACTCGACTCTCTTCCTCCTCATTGACTCAGACACAGCAGAAGGAGTCATTGGCTCCTGCTGCTCTCAATCACAGCCAGTGAGGAGGGAGAAAGTACAGGGCCTAGCCATGCTTTGTGGGTCTTATGGACACACAGATCTGGCTCAGAATCGAGCATACACGAGTGCCCCCATAGCAAGCAACTTGCTATGGGGGACGCTCCGTGGGGAAAAGGGGCCAGGAGCGCTGGTGGGGACCCAAGAAGAGGAGGATCAGGCTGTTCTGTGCAAAACCATTGCACAGAGCAGGTAAGTATTTTTTTATTTAACAAAAATTATGCCTTTACAATCCCTTTACCCTGGAAGACTGAAGACATTTTGTGAGGGGGTGTCACCATGGTACCCTGAATTTACAGTGTAATGAAGCAGAGAAGAAGTGCTGACCTAATCATAACAGTAAATTTTTGTTTGTCCAGCAGCTGCTGAAGTGTCACATACAGTAGCAGTGTTTCCACCATTACTGTTTATGACAGCTTCCTTCTTGTCAAGTAAATGGTGGGTGCCAGGACCCACCACATCCTTAGCTCCCAGTGACATAACCCAGCCCCATTCATTTACTGGCTGAGAAACCCCAGTCATGTTCACAAATGGCCAGGGATAATGGTGACATCACTGACTAAAGATGGCCGCATTAGCAAGGATGGGGTCTGGTATGTAGAGTCATTTTAGGGAGAATCCTATATCTTTTTGTGGCGGTATATTTAAAAGAAATCCAAATCCATCTTAGTTACAGACACATATAAGCAACTGAGAGTTGTCATTTACCAGCTATTTAAACTGCATTTTTAATTTTTATTTGTAAATGTCAGTTTGGCTGAAGTAAGTTGTATACATTGTACA